ATAGTAGTGATAAAATCAGGCCTTCTGAGGAACTGTAAGGTACAATTCATTGAGCTGAAATAATCTATAAAGATGCAGGACATGCTAACCACTTGTCAACAGATTCTGAGATCTTTTCCTGGATGAGGCCCAATTTTTCGATGAGAGGACCTGCACAAATAAATTCAAAACGGTCTTGTACAGAGAAAACTTCTGCTGATTGTGCAGGAAAGACCGAGTACAATAGGAATTGCTTCCGTCCATCTCCAGCAGTAGTGTCATAATGCATTGAATTGTCTTGCAACCATGGAAACCCGCTGCCTGCGAAAAGAAACCACAAAAACTTTTAAATAAAAGAGGTCATCCAAATTCACTGCAATAGGAAAATTTACATGGCGACTACATCTTTAAATGCAGCCAATGTACCAACCAGAACAATCATACAAGCATAACAAAGAAAACTTGATAATAATAGTTAACATAGAAACTTTACATTTTATTAGGATCTCCAACATGCAAATTGTATGTCTTTTTCCTTGTTTTATATCCAATTACAAGCCAAAAGTAAATAATTCTGTAAAACATATACAAAGTACCAGACCGCCAAAATCACAGATCAAGAAATAGCTACAAGATCATCTCATGGCTAAGCAAGCTGTGGGACTGCTTTGTTTCAACCTAAAAGAATATAAGCATCCTGCAAGGAAAAAATCTCTGAAATGTCGGAAAGCTCTAAAATAGATTTGAGCGGTGGGATGATTCAATAGGTCGAGTAGTCACAAGATGAATGTAATCAGGGAAGGGAGCATACGAAATCTATAACACGTTAAACTGCAAAGGGAAATAATGACCTCCATTATGGGTATGTGTGGGTCACTGCCATTAACAACTTACATATAACAATCTATGGAATGGCATCAACCATAGGTCTCAGTTTTTCAAGCCTTGGAAGTTATATTCCTCTACATCCATGCAGATACAAGCAACATTGCAGACATATAGATGAAGAACAAATATTTATTGCACTTCAAAGTTAAAATTTCCTACTGCCATAAGTAAGATTACTCTTGATAAATAAACTCCACAATTAACATATATAGCATCTATTTTATGATGAAATGGCATTCAGCAGTATTTTGTATTTCTTTTTTTAAAAATTTCTCTCTTGTCCTTCACTTCTAGCACCTCATCCAAAAGAACTTGTTAAAATTCGGTAATGGAATAAAAGAAATTAATAAACTTAAGTCAATTGAACTGAAGGCATGTTAAACACTTTCCTATTTTCCCACAATCGTAAGTCTGTCACACTAAAATTTTTAACAGCATATCTGAAGAATTTCCTAAGAATTGCTCTTCATTATTTGCCCACACTCTAAAAAGGTCCCATAGCAGGTTATGAAGAATTAGTAAAATAAAACCACTAAAATCTGCAAGAGTAAATCTGAAGATTCTTCTAGCTATGTTTTGGAAGGAAATAAACAACAATGGGTGATGTATAGAAGAATTGAGGGCAGAGACCATGTCTGTTTAGGGAGGAAGTTCAATTTCAGTCCTGTGGTTTTTCCTTATTGTAATTCAAACTGTATGATTTATTTTTATGACAATTACTGATTTCACCTCTTGGTATTTTACATAAATTTTTTCAGTTTATTTCAAACACATATCAGTTTTTTAAATACAATTACACGCACATTCAAGACCAAAAAATAAAAATTAAAGAAAAACTAAAAAATTAAAAGATGATAGCTTAAAAGCTAATGATCTTATTTAAAATTTAAAAAAAACAGTAAATTACAAAAATTAAACTGACAAAATATCCATTACGTTTAAATTGCAAATCCAAGCTACATTGTGAAACTAGACTTTGTCCACTATTCCTAGAGGCCCCATATCTCTCCACCAATAATTATGTCTTCTAAATAACAACTACATTTTTCTATGAACAATAACATTGGTTTGAGACTGCTCGAAAACACTTTAACGACATTAAAAATTATGAGTAGAAATCACAATTTTCCGGAAGACATCTAAAAGAATAGTTCTTCACGAGTTGAAAAAATGTGAAATGTGTTTTTGTAGTACTCAGGAAAGACTTCTACAAAGCCACGAGTTGCATCAAAAGTTGGTCCAATATGATCTCCAAGCCTGTTTTATCTACATCTCTTTCTAACGTAGAATTATAAGGAATCAAAATCTTCCTTGAAGGTTTGACTTATTAATATCAAGTTCTTCCTCAACTATTCTCGTTCCTGTCTCTCATTGACTTAAAATTATTTTGTTTCATACTCTGCCTTCACCTGCTCATTAGAAACCCATTATAAGTTCCTTTCTCACTTTAAAATATAGTCAGAAACAATATATTATTGTCCGTTTGTAATAAAACAATTGATAAAGACATAGAAAGATTCTAAGTTCCATTTCAGTTAGTTTACCCTAGATGTGAATTCAAGATGCCGTCATAATTCCTTATCATTTGTCATCAATAACTCTGATATACGTGAAAGACTAGAAAGGATTCTCCTTGAACTATTATCCAGTTATTGATAAAAATGATCCATAAAGTCACTCAACAACCTAACGAAGTAAGAAAAACTATCAGCTTTGGCATTTGTCTGCATAATATAATAAATCAATAAGTGATAGCCCAGCATCCATCATTCCTGCATTCCCAACCAATTTGTTAGCTCAAAACCTTGAGCTCTAAACGGTATATCTCGTTTTACAAGTAAAATTTATGAACATATAAGACAAAAGTTGAGGTAAAACTGATCACTTAGCAAAAAGTTGATTGTAACCAACATGTCGCTAATTAACAGCACACCAAATAAAAAATATGTGAACACAATAAAAAAAACTGACTATAATCACAGACCGTGTAGGAGTCTTACAACATTCTCCTCGTTAATATCAGTAAAAAACACATAGTATACTGGTGTCAGAACCTCATGTGTTTCTTGAACATAACATATAAAACTTAAACTCTTAACTCTAAACCCTAAACCTTTAAGTTCTAAACGTTAAATCTTAAACTTAAAGCCTAATTATATATAACGTTTATTAAACAAAACATATCTATTTGTTGGAAGTAAAAGAAAAGAAAAGATTTGCAAAATGATATAACGTGAATTTCAAAAGAATAAAAAGTTGCTTTTGAACTAGTAACATCTCTATGGTGTCCAAAAGCTTCTTTTTAATTTCTATAACTATACACATTTTGTATATAAATATAATAAATTTAGAAAATAAAAATTCAATACAGTGTTGTAAACAAGGCCATGAGCGTCTACATCTCATATTGAACGAAATGAGATTCAGCCCTAGAAGAATCCAATGTACTAATTAAAATGCTTAAAATAAATGTGTATGATAAAGCTAGGCTACCCTTAAGACAAATGTGAAATAAACATACCCTTAAGACAGACACCACCGGTCCAAGCTAGGCTGATTTCTGGGCTGGCATGTAACGAGTATCTAAATATTGCTCTTTTCCATTACAACCGATGGATAGGAATTATACTCTTTTCCCCATGAACTTCTTCTCTGAATTTCTCTTTATAAACCATATGCAAGGGCTTCATCTATATCAGTTCCTAATAAAACATACTTTGTCCTCTCCACAGCAGCAAAAGCCTCCTGAAGATCTCCAAATGTGACATTATAGCAAACAGCAGGCATTCGAAAGATCATAGCATTTGACATAGGTTAATATTAATATATATCCAATGAAAGAAGCTATAGTTACAGCGGAGAGCTATCCCTGCATCAAGTATGCATGAATAGAAGATTTCAGGAAAAGGAAAGGGAATCAAACAAGTTAGTACAAAAGAATGATGAGAAAAAGGAGTAAGAAAAAAGGGTTAACAGTAAAAAACAGATTACATAAGCAAAGGTAATTTGTAAGGAGAAGGAGAAGGAATTAAAGGAGTAAGAATTTAGGTTGGCAGTGAAAAATAAATTGTTTGTATCAGGAAAAGGAACTTCCAATGAGGGTTAAAGAGAAAAAGTCACAATCAATAACTGCTTATTGGCTTCACTTTGCTTCCTCCAAGGCAATATGTGACCATCAAAGAAATATAAACAGCACCTCTTGTTAAAGATTCATTAATAGATTTAAGAGTCCCAAGCTTTAAGCCACTACTTTGATAAGCAAGAACCTATCCATCTCTCTCAAGAAAATTTTAGACCATTTATTCATGTCCAGATAAAAGCATAAATCCCAATTGAAACACTTCTCAGCCATCTAAACAAGGTCAACCAAATAGCTTAACAATCCTCGAAAGAGAAAACCCGACAAAATCTGGAAAAATTTGTTGTCATAAAGAACCACAATAACGACATCAATCTTCATTAAGACACTTATTCCTTGAACCAATAAGAAGAAAATTGCCCTAGAAAAAGACCACTACACTAGAAAAATTATACTTCTTCCTGATATCAATGATAAATGGGTGCCAAGAATCAGTGCAGGAAAGAGCTGCGAACAAACATACTCTGTACAACCCTTTAAAAACTCAGAACCCTAAAAATTTGCTTCAATAAAAGTAACCTAATTAGCCAGAAAAAGGAGGAACTGACTTCACTCACCCACCAGAAGAAAATTCCCTTTTCTTTTTCTTCCCCTCTCTCATTGCCTCTCCTAGCTCTTGCTTGCATTCTTTCTCTCCGCTTCTGCCTTTCCAGTCTGCACCAATGTTTAGATAATCTGAACTCACTAAATTAACAATTTACGCTTCTTTCTTATAGAAAACAAAAAAGCCCATGTTCTAACAGAATATAGTAATACTCTATAAAATTGTTTAAATATCCCTCACTTAATTAACTTATTCTCATTTAATATAGTATACAAACAACCCTAAAGCTTTACTATCATTTTGATCATAACTTTTGAATTTTAAAGAGATAAAGATAGTGATTAATGCTAATGTTAATGAAGAGTACTAAATAAAATATAAACACATTTTATTTTCTATTTTTTTCAAAAAAGAAATATAAACACGTTTTATGTTAAGGTTAAGATTCTTTTTCTTTTTAAGAACCATAGAATTCACAATTTACCTGCATAGAAGCCACATCCACCAATTGGGTTTGCAAAACCATCTTCAAGCAACTTAAAATAACTGGTGAAGAAACTACATCTCCATATCAGATTCTTAAATATCAATCCTCAACCCTCTAGTACTTCTGACTCATGTCTTATACTTCTTTCTCCGTGCAGTCCACGATCGGCTCCAAATTATTAAATGTGAGTACTGAAAAGTACATCCTAAGTGCTTTCTGTTCCACATCCCCTTCCCCTAAGAGACAAAAATGCTGGGGATGGACTTTGTTTTAACTATAAGTGATTTTACGTCTCCTTAACTTTTCCCTTGATATACTCTATTAACCGGTTAACGCTCCCTAGAGCTTTTTCAGATGAAGTTCCATGCTTAATAAGTTCTCTTCGATCTTTAAAAGTCTTTAGTATATCAGAAATGGCTTCAGCTTTCCGTAATATGGATCTTCTCCTTGCACGTGATACATTTATGTCTTCACTGTATGTGTTGGGCATCTTGTTTGAATGAGGGACAGAAGACATCACATGACATGATTTATGTGCCATGTCAGTCATTCCTTTTTTCCTTAACTTATCTTTCATTATATGAAAAGTAAGATACTGAGGAACTATACCCTTTCTTATCATGTCTTTGAACTCCGCAAAAGCCTCTTCAAATCTATTCATTTTGCAAAGCAGATGAATCAACATGGTGCTAGTGGCCAAGTCCAGATCACATCCCCTAGCTCTCATTTCCTTGCTGACTTGCACAGCCAAGTTCAATCTCTCATCTTGATAAAACATCTTCAACAGGAGATGATAAGTAAGTCTATCGGGGCCGTACCCAGCTTCAAGCAACTTAGTATATATGTTCATCCCCTCCTCGGTTTTCCTAAATTTTGAAAAGATCCTAATCATCGTCTTAATGATCTTGCTAACACTGACAAGATCTCCTGCCTTACAAAAACCTTTCACCAAAGAATTGTAAGTGGAAATAGTTGGGCCAGATTCACACAGTAGAAAAGCTTCCATCATATCTAATGCTTCTTTAAACCTACCAGCCTCCCCTATGGCATCGATAATGGGATTATAAATTATAGCATTTGGCACAATTCCCCCTCTTCTCATTTCATTCACAAATTTTATTGCCACCTCAACACGGCAGATCTGACAGTACCCTTCTACAAGGGTGCCATAAATGACAACAGTTGCTCTCACATTCTCCTCTTTCATTTTCAACCAGAATTTCTCTGCCTATTTGAGTTTCCTTGACCGAAACCATCCATTTAATAAAATATTATAAACCCGAATTGAAGGAACCCAATTTTCCTCTAATTCCTTTTTCCTGTTGAAGTATTCCGAGGCTACCTTAACATGTCCTTCTTTATAAAGGGAATCCAACAAAATCTCAAACAAACAGATTTTTGAATCCGATTTACCAATTGAGTCAAAACTACTAGCAAATTCAAATGTTTGAATGGCTGATGGGATCATCCCAGCAGGAACTCACGACAGAATAGGGATCATAAAGCCAGAAAACACTAAGCCGTAAATGGAAGTAACAAACCTAATCATAATCCAAGATCCTTATTTACTCTACAGAAACGAGAAAATTTTCAAGTCATGAAGACACCACGCACTTGAAAAGAAGAATGTGCATATAATTCCCCAATGAAAATCACAGACCTAACCCATATTGGTTACAAATTCAAGTCATTCTACTTTAAAAAGTCTGCACATTGTGCAAATTGGTTCCTTGTAACTTCAAGATTGAAGCACAGAAAAAATCAAACGAATTCACTGGAGCATAACAAAATACTAAACTCGCAAGCCAGGTACCATACCTGCACGTGGATACCGTCTAATTAGAATGGCAAACGTCTCCCCAGAAATCAAAGTAGGTCCCTCTTTCTTATAAGTCCGATCAAGAATTAGGGACCATGCAAAACCAAACTCCCTGGCCTTAGCGAGAACATTGATAATGGAATTGAATAGAGTTGCAGTGAAGTGAAAGCCGGGTTTCCTCTCTGCCCAGAGAAACAGTGCGTAGAACAAGTTGGGAGAACAATCGAATATAGCCTGCAGCAAAACCAGGATCCGATTTTATCCCGGTCCAGTCCAAAGCCAACACGAGGGCCGCACCCGAGGAAGTAACAGGGTTCATGAGGAGTTTGGAGATTGCAAAGAAGTCCGAGAAATTTGAGTTCGGGCTAAAGTTAGGCGGAGCACAGGGAGGTGAACATTAGGTAGTGGTGGATGCCACTTGGCAGAGGAGTTACCGGGAACAACGAACCATGATTGATGATAAAAGAACGCGACAGAGACTATGATTATCAGGGTCTAGAATTGAGGTGAGCAGGCGTTTCTGGAAATATAAGATAGTGTAATTCATTTCTTTACAGTAGCAGAGGTGCAGAGGTTTCGATGGAAGGGACAGTTTAAGACGAGAATTGGAGAAGAGAACGGGACACGCGCAAAGAGAATAACTTTCCTCTCTGTAACAATCAAGCAAAACAAACCGAAAGTGTCAACAGAGATATCTACAAAAAAGACCACATACGATTTTAAAGAAGCATGATAAAAAAATTCTAAGTCAGAGGGAATAAATATC